ATGCTTTTCTGAAAAGCTTTCTGTTTAGGATTCCAAAGAGCTAATTTATAAATGAAATCAAGGAATTATGCTGAAAAGAAATTCTGCTCTCCTGTCGTGATTAAGTAGATAAAACAAAAAGCAGAGTAATTTTGGTTAACTATGCAGCCTGCACAGGCATGCTGAGTGACCTACATAAGCGTTTACAGCTCAGTTATAAAACATTCACTAATTAATGCAATGGTTATTACTAATATCAACATTTATTTAGACAATCATGTTACAATATTTACAATACTAATTATTTTCCTCTGTTAACAACTTAAAGTAATTCTCAGATGCAACCATGGAATTATTTATCAAGTCCTTTTGCATTTTAAATAAAGAGCCTTTACACTATAGCTGTAAAAATGCACATTCTAGTCTTTTGGAAGCTAGTAAGGATTACAAAACAGCTGTAACTTCCTCCCCTTTGTGATTATACAGCAACACAAAACACATGAAAAAGCTAAAATAAGTTTGGCAAGTAAATATCATTATTGCTAGTGTTAGATTCTAGGATCATCACCTCGTTCAGTAATAAACCACAATCAACAGCAGGTCCTGCATGCCTCTAGATGCATTTGAGCCTCACCTACACCCCTGCTTCACTCCTCACAGAGTACTCCCACTACTGGTGTACTGTTAGCCAAATTACATGTCAGGCTGTGAGCTGGAAAAGCAGAATTCTCTAAAGTAGATGGCTGTTGCTGCATGTGACAGCCACACAGCAATTGTTCCCACTGCCTGTGCTCCTTCAGCTTCCAGTCCGTGGTGTGTCTCCTCTCAGCTCATAGAGGCAGTGCCTCAGCCTTACCATGCTGGCAGTGCCCCCTTGTCGGGACACAGCTCATGCCAGCAAACCAAAAATAATGATTTTTGAATTTTTTTTTTCCCTTCCTGTCAGCCTAGTTTATGTCATTGAACGAGGTGTAGCTGCAGTTCTGTTTGGCTCAGCTGCACTAGCAAGGTTCTGCCAGCACACCACTGTTAGCTCGGGTGAAAGTTTTTTTTTTCCAGGATTCCAGCCAGCACAGCTGCGTTAATGAAACTTAGTAGCACATATCTGGTCAAAAGCTTTTGGTACTCTACACTTTCTCCTAGTTTCTGTACTTCTTGAGCCTTGCTCAAGACTTAGGATAGTCATCTTAACATATAGTACAGCTTGTTGCAATGTTGTGTGCAACATCTGCATCACTGTTTCAACAGCATGCATATCTCATATTCCCAAGGAACGAATTAAAAAGGGAAAAGGGAGGGAAGATAAATTCTCAGCTCTCAAAAAATAAAGTGGATGGCTCCACCATGTATGAGAACCTTGGCACAGTTAAACACAGCACACCATGTCTTAGCAGTCAAAACAAAATGAGAACAAGAAAAGCCGTCACTTGACAGTCACAGGAAGTTAGAGGGAGCCTCAACTTTCTTCTTGACATCATCTCCTAGATTATGGTCCTCAGAAGAAACTCTCAAAAATATAAAGCTTTTTTCTTTTCCCATCTAGTATAATTTAACTGGCAAAACCCCAAACCTTTAATTACACAAATTCAGCCATAAGAACTCAAAACCAACTGTGCCGGATCAGATCAAAAGTTTAACTAAGGATTTTCTCCCCTGCAGTAGTCAAAAACAGGTAAGCGAGTAAAGAGCAAATGTTTTTATTACTTTCCAAAAGACAGAAGCAGCTCTCCTCATATACTTAGATCTACAAGGACAGAGCACAGAAATACCTTCCAGTGTCTATCCCTTGGGCAGGGGCCTCAAATACTGAGCTACATTTGAAACAATGAAAAAGACTAGTGTGGTTATGGCAGTTGAGTGAGGACATCATCTTCTCACTTGTCTGACAACCTGTGTAACTGCAAATCACTAACAGCATTTTTTAAAATCCTGTTTTATTTTATTTCTTCACAATAATATCTTCAATACTTGATTCATCCCTGCAATGACAGTTAAACCAGGATTCCACTATGTTTTTTTTTGGTGTACAAAATAGTGTCTAATACAGAATTGAGGGGGGGAGGAGAACCAAAATCACAACAAAACAGAAAAAAAACTCCAAAGGTTCTCTTTTCACAGAAAAAAATTTGCTGTATGTTAATAGTGACAGAAAAACACAGCCCTGCAACTAGGACATCCAAGAGAGATTCTACCAAATCAAAACAATTCTTCTCTACTCATATTGCTAGGGCTGAGAGTGTCAGCCAAACATAACTTTAAGCCAGTGCTGTCAAACCAATGACACATGAAAAACGCAGGAAATTACTTGCAGTTGCCTGCAGACATTTTAAAATATTTCACGCAAGCAGCATGAAAGCAAATCTTAAAAGGGCAAAATACAGACCCACAAATTGTATCTTACTGTACCCAGTTTGCGAAGGATCCTCTTGCACTCATCCCTACTGAGGTCCAGAAGAGTAGGCCACACCACAGGCATCCTTCCCTTGTGTCTGTGCTGCCACAGAGCTCAGCCTCGCTGGAAAACGAATATAAACGCTCAAGCCCATAATTTAGTGATTTCCCAAGCCGATTAATGTAAACTCCTCAGCCTGCTCACAACTCCACCGACATATTCGCTCCCATTCCCGCCCCAGTCTTTTCAGTGGCATGAAGGAATTCGGTAGTTTCACAAGTGCATGGACTTCCTATACTCTCTAGATCAAATGCATCACCCAATCCTTTTTACAGAAAAAGCCTATTTTTTTCAGGCTGAAACGCTCTCCGAAATGATGTTTAAGTCTCCTTCCTCTCTCCATGCAGAGTACTCATTAAAAGAATTCTTCCGGCGAACCGCACGCTCCCCTTCCCCCCGGAGAATGCGTTTTGCGCCAGCCTATATTCTATGACAGGACAGCAAAAACATCGTGTGTGAAAATTTGCTCTCCACATACCAACACTAGCCCCCTCCCCCCCAAAAAATAAACCAAATACGAGAACACCTAGATCTCAACGCGGAGAGATTCCGTGGGTGGCGGGGAGAGAGGGCGCATGTCCCCGATGCGGCGAGGATAATAAAGGAAAAAAGAGCAGCCGGAGGCGAGTTGGGCAAGCGGGGCTTGTGGCGGGCAGCGGGGGTGGGGAAAGGTGGGCACCGGGAAGGAACAAAAGCCCTGATGCCGCCGCAGCTTCCAGCCCCTCGGGGCTGCATGGGGGGAGGGTCTCCCACAAGGGCGCCCAGAGGCAGCCGCCACACGGGCACTCCCCGCCCGCCCTTCCCGGGGACCGCCCGGAGCCAGAGGCGTTCCCTGCCGGGACTGGGGAAAGAGAGAGAGAAGGAACGGGCGGCGGCTGCTTCCCCGCATCGGCCGCGCCGGCGAGCAGCGCGGTGCGGGGCCCGGGGCGCTGCGCTGGGCCCGTAAGGGGGCGGCGGGTCCCCGCCGTCCCGGAAACGGAGCTGCCCCTCTCACTGAGGCGGGGAGCAGGACCCACCTGCCCGGCCGTGCCCAGTACATCGAAGGCTCCGCGGCAGCCGCCCCCCGCCGTCCGCCAGTGCCGGCCTCGGGTTTGTTTGGTGGCGGCGGCGGCGGCGGTGGCGTTTACTCGGGCCAAGATGGCGGACGAGAGCGCTGCGCATGCGCGGGCGCCGCGGGGCACGCTGGGAATTGTAGTTCGTGCCGCCCTTCAGCCGTGAGGCGCTGGAAGAAACTGCTGCCAAGATGAGCGCTCGGGTGGGCAGTGCGCATGCGCGGCGTCAAGGAGCATGCTGGGAATGGTAGTTCTGTCGGTGTTTCTTGACGCGTGGAAAGCGGCGCCCACCGTGGCTCGGCGGATACGGGCAGCCGGAGGGGACAAAACACGTTGCGCGTTGTCTGCCTGGGTTGGCACAGTTCGAAAGCAGAACTGTAGGAATTAACAGCTGGCCGCGTACCCCAGAACTGTAGGAATTAACAGCTGGCCACCGCTCCTGAAATTAAATGTGACAGGGGAGAACATCACCCCCGTGGTGCAAACGCCATTTGGCTGTCTGCAATTTACTAACTTAAAGCGGACGCGGCGGCTGTAGCGAACCGCCTGTAGGGAACAATAAGGAAATAAATCCCGCACCTACAGCCGCTCCGAGGTGCCGCTGTTCCCCCGGGTACAGCAGTCCCAGCACCGCCAGTGCCAGAGCTTGGCTGCTGGTTTGGATTTACAGCGATTATAATTTGTTTTCCTGAAGATTTCTCTGAAAAATGCATGTTTTATGAGTGGCTTTTCGCAAATGTTACAATGAATATTGTGGAAAAACGCCAATCACTTGGTTTTTAAAATTTTGAAAGTTTAATAATAATAATAAAATGGTTATAAAATTAATAATACAATTAGAGTAATAAAGTTTAGAGTTAGGACAATTACAAGACAATAAAAAGCAAAGACTTATGGATGTCTGGACGCTCTCGGACACTAAGTCATGAAAAGCATCCCTTGTGAACAAAGGAATAACCTTAAAAGCAATAGCCTGTTGCATATTCATATATCCTTCATGGTTATGCATACATTCTATTTAAAACAAGAACTCTGTCTCTTGTATGTCAATGGTTTCCTTTAATCCCTATAGCCTCTTCGAGTCTGAGCAAGGCCTGAAGAAATTAGCTTCTTCTGATAAGAAAACCATAAATTCCTCTCCTCTGGAAAATTTAGATGTTCCTTGAAGTGAGTATCTCATCCCTAAAAAAAAACTCCCCCCACATACATAGTCTCTATTTTAACATTATGTTGGAACCTAAAACTGTATTTAACACACTACTTAAGAGAATTAATACAGCATAACTTTCTAACATTACACATATAATATTTGTGAAAAATGCATATTTTATTATTGGCTTTTTGCAAATATTACAATGAATATTATGTGTATATGTGTAATGTTAGAAAGTGTTAGAAAGTTAGTGCTCTACCTGCTTTTAAACAGGATATACTTGGTGAGGGAGCTCTTACCTACTTCCTACCATCCATTTTTCTGTATTCTGTTTTTTTTTTCTAAGCTTTATTTTATTTTTACCTAATAATGGCTTCTGACCAGTACAACCTCTATCTAATTATTTCATTACTTAAAAAGCTTGTGGCTTTTACCATTACTTCTTTGACTACCTGAAAGGAGTTTTAGCCAGGTGGGGATTGGCCTCTTCTCCCAAGCAACCAGCAACAGGATGAGAAGACAGGGTCTTAAGCTGTGCCAGGGAAGGTTTAGATTGTACATCAGGAGGAATTTTTTTCACAGAAAGGGTGATTAGATATTGGAAGGGTCTGCAAAGGGAGGTGGTAGGGTCATCATCCCTGGAGATGTTTAAGATAGCCTGGAGGTGCTCTGGTATAGTTGACAAGGTTATGATCCGTCATAGGCTGGACTCAGTGATTGCAGAAGTCTTTTCCAACCTAATTGATTCAGTGATTCTGTGTGGGATTATCCATCAGGCTGCAGAGTAACAACATCCTCCTAGAGCCAAACAAAAGAAAATAAGAGAACACCATTATGAACTCAATGTCCACCCCATGCCTGTTTTTATATATAGTGTAGCATATATAAAGATGGAGCTCCAGGCGAAGGCACTCGAGCCCTGCCCTGCTCCACTCCTTTCACCCCTCTGTGAGTTTCCTCAGAGAGGGAAACTAAGGCAAACTTAGTCACAAATGATCAGAAAAAAAAAAAAGCTGGGTTTTGGGGTGGCCACGGTGTAACACATGCACGCTGTACCATGTGCACACACACTTGGCATCACACACGAGCCCGTGGTGTCACATGCATGGCGCAACACACGCGTGCTGTAACACACACATGTTGTGTACGTTGCATGCACGGTGTAACAAATACGCACATGCCATAAAACACACACAGGGTGTAAAAGGAACGGCGTAACACGGTGAAACACACACGGCGTAACACAGCCACGCACACGGGGTAGCACGCATGTAATGGACACACGTGCTTAGCACACACACGCACACGGGGCAACACACATGTAATGGACACATGCACACACACAGGGGTAATGGACACACGTGCTTAACACACACACACACAGGGCAGCACACATGTAATGGACACACACACACACAGGATAACAGGCATGTAATGGACACACACACAGGGTAACACGCATGTAATGGACACATGTGCTTAGCACACACACGCACATGGGGCAACACACATGTAATGGGCACATGTGCACACACACAGGGGGTAATGGACACACGTGCTTAACACACACATACGAGGTAGCACGCACTTAATGGGCACACATACTTAGCCCACACATGCACACAGGGCAACACACATGTAATGGACACATGTGCACACACACAGGGGGTAATGGACACACGTGCTTAACACACACACACGGGGTAACATGCATGTAATGGACACACGCACTTAACACATGCACACACACGGGGTAACATGCACGTAATGGACACACACACACAGGGCAGCACACATGTAATGGACACGCACACACACAGGATAACAGGCATGTAATGGACACATACACAGGGTAACACGCATGTAATGGACACATGTGCTTAACACACACAGGGCAGCACACATGTAATGGACACGCACACACACACAGGATAACAGGCATGTAATGGACACACACACAGGGTAACAAGCATGTAATGGACACATGTGCTTAGCACACACACGCATATGGGGCAACACACATGTAATGGACACATGTGCACACACACAGGGGGTAATGGACACATGTGCTTAACATACACACACGGGGTAGCACGCACGTAATGGACACACACACACGGGGCAGCACACATGTAATGGACACGCACACACACACAGGATAACAGGCATGTAATGGATACACACACACGGGTTAACACGCACATAATGGACACATGTGCTTAGCGCGCACACACACTCACACACAGCGTAACACACACGTAATGGACACAGGCGCTTAACACACATACATACACACACACGTAATTGACACGTGTGCTTAACACACATACATACATACATACACGCACACGGGGTAACACGCACGTAATAGACAGACAGACACACACACGGTGTAACACGCACGTAATGGACACACAAGCACACACACAGACACACAGACACACACAGACACACACACACACACAAACACGCAACCCACACGCAGCCCCCGCCACCCGCGCATGCGCGCCCCCGCCGCCTCCGCTCCCCGCGCGCACGCGCGGGGCCGTGCCCGCCGCGGCCGCGCGCGGTGCAGTGTGGGAAGGAGGCGGCCCCGGCCCGGCGGAGTGCGGCGCTGAATCCTCCCGGCCGCTCACAGCACTGTGGAGCCGCTTCCCGCCCGGCCTCCCCTCCGGCCGCCGCCGCCACCTCCTCCTCCTCCACCCCACACACGCACCCTCCCCCCCCGCCCCCCTCCCGCCGGCCCGGCGATTTAAAGGGGCAGCGGCGCCGGCCGGGGGAACCATGCCGAACTTCTGCGCGGCGCCGAACTGCACCCGCAAGAGCACCCAGTCCGACCTGGCCTTCTTCCGCTTCCCCCGCGACCCGGCCAGGTGAGACCACCGAGGGAGGGGCGGGCTGAGGGAGGGGCGCCCGCCTCTCCCCCTCAGGCCCCGCCACGGCGCTGCCTATGTGAGGATACACCGTGCTGGATGGAGAGCTGGCTGCCTTCCCCCTGCCCGCTCTGCCTCGCCAGCCGCCCTCCTTACCCGAGGGCGCCCGGAGCGGCGGCGGTGCCGGCGGAGGCCGCGCTGTCCCGGGCGGGGCGGGGCGGGACCCCGCGGGCTGCGGCGGCGGGAGGCGGCTGCGCCTGCGCCGGTACCGCCGCGACTGCGGCTGCCGCCCCTCGGCGGAGCGGCGGGGACGGGAGCCCGGCCGAGAGCGGGGCGGGGTGAGGCTGTGCAGTGGGATGTGTGTGAGAGATGTGGGGTGCCGCAGCCATAGGCTCAGGTAGGGGAGCCCTGCACTGTGGGGGCCCGCGCTGGATCAAGCAGTGAAGGACCGTCAGTCCTGCTCTGTGCCTTAGGCGATGTGGGACACTCCTGCGACGGGGGGGAGCTGTCACAGGATTGCTGGTGACACGCAAAACCTTACAATTTTAATAAATATTTGTAGGGAACGGTAATTTTTTTTTTTTTTTAGCGTTGGACGCACACTGGGATTTTCCTTGTAGCAGGGATTTTCCTTGTAGCAGGGATTTTCCTTTAAAGGGTATGTGTGTCCCTTGGGGATTCTCGATATTTTTTATTATCTTGCACTAATCTATATATACATAGAATCTTACAATAGGTGCATGCATATTTATTCTGTTGATTTTGAGTTACAATTTACAGTTGGTCCTTTGTACAGAGAACTCTCTCATTTTTTTTGTCTATTTTTGCAGACTTCTTCTTTTCTTAGTTTTAGAGTTCAAGGGGCCCCTCTTATCTCTTTACCTTGGAGATTACATTCTTTTCTTTTTGGCTGGGACAGTTTTACTAGCACAGCAGAGTTAACAGACTAAACAGTATATTTCATTTATGTTAGCAAACCACTACGCAGCACACTTTACTTAAATCCAGATGGATTTTCTACTCTGTTAAATTTTACTCTGTTTCACTGGGATGGTGGCAAAGCATCATGAGCAACAGTAGAGGTGATGGGAGAAATTCCCAGTGGATGAAAAGCAGGGGTGGTGTACTGGTAGAGCAAAAAGTGTGTGAGTGACAGTGGAAAATACTATGAAAAATAAATAATGTGCTTAGACACAGAAACCACTATTAAAGGTTCACCTTTAAATCAGGATAGCATTCTTAAAATCACTTGATTTAACATGATGCTCACAATATTGAAAGGTGCATAGGCATAGAGCAATACCAGTTACCTCTTTTCTAACAGTCGATAGTTAAGGCTGGGCTTTTCATGATTTATACATGATATTCACTTCCTTCCTTCCTTGAAGCTGCTTGACCTGATTTTTGGAAAAATCAAAACCCCATGGGACTTATGCATATGTAGTATTTTCTAAGGAAACAAATCCTCCAGGCAATTTCCAATGAAGATAAAAAAAGCTTACATAGGTAGTAGCTGCTCTCTAAAGTTGTGATTTTGGATATGTTATGAAGTTCTCCTGGATGAATGCAATTCCTTGCTGTAAAGGCTATCCAGACCCCTTGATGTCTAGTGCATGCAAGGTATTATAATACAATCCATATTGCATATGCTTTTGCTTTAATAAGAACTGAAATCAAAGTGTTTGCTTACCTACTCTTACTCTTTCATTTTCATGATTTGCTCTTACTGTTGTCTCTTTCTACCATCTGTCCTGTCACATGTCACAGAGACCCTTAGCATCTCAAACAAAGGAATGTCTGCAGTTTGTGTAGAACTGAAGAAAATTAGCACTGCCTGAGCTTCAGTGTTAATTTGTAAGAGGTCCATGCTGTAAAATGTGAGTCACATCAAGCTGTACAGAATTCATCAGTAGATGACAGTTTACTGTATGAAGAGTATAACCTCTTCAGTTTATAATTTTTTTTATGGAAGGACATTTTGAATGAGTGTGTTCCATGGTAGCAGTGTGGAGATGTAGTTAAAGGTGTGCAACTAAATGGTTACATTTAAAAGATTAATTTTTTTAAAACTCTATTTTATAAACTCTAGTATGGTTTAGGTTGGAAGGAACCTTAAAGGTCATCTCATTCCAAGCCGTGGGCAGGTACATCTTCCATTAGACCACCTTGCTCCCAGCCAACCCTTGGAACACTTTCAGGAATGGGGCAGCCTCAGCTTCTCTTGGCTATCTATGCCAGGGCCTCCAAACCCTCACTGTAAAAAATTTCCTTCATATCTCTGGCCTAAATTTCCCCTCTTAGAGTTTGAAGCCATTTCCCCATGTCTTGTCACTAGAGTTCCTGATGCAGAGTTCCTCTCCTACTTCTTTGTAAGGCCCTTTCAGACACTGGAAGGCACTGTGAGGTCTCTGCACAACCTTCTCTTCTCCAGGCTGAGCAGCCACTACTTTCTCATCTTTACATTGGGACATACAGTATTTTAGATGAGTTCTCACAAGATGGGCAGGAGGAAGGAGAAACTATACATAAACTGTTCATAGCATCTTTGTGCTCTTAAAAACAGTCAGTAACAAAGATGATGTTCTAAGTTCTCTAGAAGTTCCCCCCTTCATATTTTACAACTTTCTGTCCAAAGCTGATAATATATTCTATTTTACCAAGAGCATTTAGAGGCTAATAAACCAATGCATCCTTCTAGTTTTACAGACTTGAGGGTGTTTTATTCTGTGGGTTGGTCTACAGCAGTCTGCAGATGGAGATGAAAATATGTTCCTTGTACTGCTTGCTTTCACTTTGGTAGGTCAGACTGGGACGGTGAGCAAAGTACATTGTCGCAAAATGTTATTTGCACTTCACAGCTTACAGTGGGAAAGCTGAAAATAAAGTTGTTAGAATACATTTTAAAATAAATCTTAATTAAAAAAAAATCATTGATGGTAAATTCATAGTCTGGGTAAATTGTTTCTACTACCTTACTGTTTTCAGTGTTTCCATAATAGCTGGGTAATTATCTTTAATGTTTTGCCAGTTCAGTGCTAAGCAGTTCCAGTTAGACGTTCCAAGTCTCATCTTTCAGGTGTTAGGAAGTCAGTGAGAGCTAACCTGTTAAGACTACCTTCTTTCATTTTGGCTTCTTGAGAAGATAAAGGGTTCAGAGATTAACCTTTGGAGAAGAACCACCAGTATTTAATATGTCTTTTCATATCAAACTAGTGTAAGTAGCCTCTGTTACCTACATAAAAGGTTTACAGTTTTATGCAGTGTAGGCAGTGATCCTCACAGTAAAATATGTTTGTTTAACTCTCATCTGTGATTGTGGCTCTGTTCATCATGGTGGCTCAAGTTACAGTTGAAGTGTGAGTGTTTAGAATAAAATACTTAAGCAAAGAGAAGGTGTTCTGCTGCAGTTGACCAGTAGTGAGGTGATACATACTCTAGTTGCAACTCAGTAAAATGCCATTTCAACTTCATGAGATGTCAGCAGATCTCTGAAAGTGTAAAGTTTGTGACTGAAGAAAACCTTCTTAAAAGCTAATGAGCAATGCCTAAGCGGTATTGAGGAAACTTTCCTTCCTGACCATTCAGGATCCACACTGGGAGTCCCCTTTGCAGACCAAGACTTTAATTGCTGTGAGCAAAGCCCCTCCAGGGCATGTGGCTCCAAGTGAAACAGAGTCCCATGTGACTCCCTGGACATACCTCACTCACAGCCTTGACCCTTGGTTCTGGGTTTTCTTTAGCAGAGTCTCACATGTCTGGTTCCTTTCAGCACTTTAATCATAACATGATAACAGCTTGAGCTGATGCCTCTGGGGATTGATCCTGAACCAAGAAATCCCTGGGCTTTTATATCTTTACAGTCTCTGCACCCATTCTGTAAGTGCTGCACTTACGTACAGCATTATTGCAAGTTCCAATATAGCAAAGCTAACAGGATTACCATAGGGTACAGTACAACATTATAGATTCCAGTGCACAAATACTTAAATGATTACGAATAAAAAAATCACATAATGATCATGATGGTTGATCATCCACTACTCGTTTGATGTGAGAATGTTGTATCCAGTTTTGTTACCTAAAACATACAGCAAATAGTATATGGCAGTATATGGTCCTTCCTATTTAACTTCCAGTTTAGATTTTACTGAAAATACCTTAGTTGGTCCTTCATCTCCAGATTGTACGTCATGTAGCTGTATTTTGTTTTATTTATTATTTTGTGTGAAGTTGTCTCCAACCATTTATTTTCTAAGAGGGTGATCCTGGATATAATTCTCTGCCAAACGCTATTCCTGTTGATGACCACTCTAGAGGTTGGTGAGAGTTATTTCCAATATCTTGCTATCCCATAGTACTACTCCTAAACTCCAGGCTATTTTAAATCTACCTGACTACAAATTTGAGCAGTTCCCAGCCATGGGAGTTGGAGTTCTGAGCAGCCGAGATTCCAGCTGTCCTGGGAGTCTGAGACTTTTAACCCCTTCTTGGACAATGAAAGCTTTGTGAAGCATTAATCTTCCTTGATCTGAAAGAGAAGAGAGACGGTCTGGGACCTGAGATGTTAGAAGAAATCTTAGTGGGAGGAGATGATGGAGTGGCCTTGGCTGGGCTTTTCTTGTACAGCCGTAGACTGAACCAATTTCTCCTGCAACAGAAACTGAATTTTTAGGGGGATGCAATGGTTGGAGCCAAGAGAGTGACCGGCTGCAGTGACTGCCAGGGCTGGAGTGAGAGTGACCTGCTGCAGTGATGCCATGAGAGTGACAGGAGGGGAATGAACAGAGAAGGATGAGGAGGGTATAGTGGTACCCTGAGTCTTCAGAGAAAAAGAAGATCTCTGTTCTCGAGACTCACGGCCCCAGGGAAGGAGAAAATGAGGGGGACTGTTATCCCAAAATGAGAAACTGTTGTTCTTTAGTCCTTGGCAGAGCATCCTTAAAGGAGGAACCCTGTGAACAGTCTTGGTCCATGCACAGTGGTGAGAGCACTGTACATGGGAGGAGGATTGTCACACTGGCAGACTTTTTTCTGGGCGGTGCCATGTGTGATGTGGAAACACGAAGAGGTCGCAACTGTGTTTCCTGGGGGGGGGGGTCTATGCTACAAGAGAGACTCCTCTCTCCCCTGATGGGTGAAGAATTGATTATTTGAGGGGTGGTAACTTGATTAAGGGTCCAAGTTTTATCTCACTGTGTTTGTTGGAAATTGGGTGGGGGGAGGAGGAATATT